TTCCTTTTATTCTGCGCAGGCACCAATTCACGAATGTGTGTAGTTTATCAGTAATTGTATTAGTTCTTCTAGTCCATGTTTCTGCTTTATAAAACACTACTGATTTGACCTGCACCTTATATTTTCTACATAACCCTTAATGTAGTAAAAACCCTGCAGTATAAACAGTTCGTTTTTCTGTGACCTTTGATTCAGTGTTCGTTTTCTTTGTGTATTTCTTTCAGTCACACACACACACACCACACACACACACACACACACACACACACACAAACACACACATATACACACAAACACACACACGCACATTATAAGGTGTTCGAATTGCATGACCTGGGGAGAGAGAGAGAGAGTAAAAGGTCGTTAACCGCTGTCTGATCGGGTTCGACGTTGTGGCCTAAGTGTGACCCCTGCTAACCCTTTAACTTCACTCCACGTGCCTTGTGCCAGAGGCTATATACTAGACGGGGTAATGAAAGTTTGTAGTTCCCTCCCAGCTGAGCTTGCCAGCAGATGGTAGTCACAAATGTTATTTTTACTTAAAATTTTTTATTTTATTTTGAAGTATGATTTTTATACATTTCAACTTATTTCAAATATATTTTTATATTTTTTAACCACTGAAGACGATATAATTATTTTTGCGTAATTAAACAAGGCGTATGCAAAATGAGATACAGATAAACACAAATGTTGACAACAGCAGTCCTGAAATCACATGCTATCATTGAGGAAGACTTAACGCGGGCGGGTCTTGCTAGTCTCACTCGTCTGCAAGCGACGAGTTCCAGTTACGATGGTGCCAGTAACCGTCTGATTGTATATCCATCTCATCCTTTCCCTGAGTGTTGAGCGTCAGCTAGATTTCCTGGTAACTCCTTGCAGCACCATTCTCCTCAGACCGTAATGATCTATCTGCGCCTCCGCACTGTTTACTCGGTCCCAAAGGGCCCTCACATAGCTAACTTGTCATACATCAATTCACCATCAAGTGGTGCAGAGCCAGCCAGCCTATCTGTCTTCTCATTTCCCTATACACCGGCATGACCTGGACAAAATATCCAAAGGATGCTAACTACCCGGGACCTCTGAAGTGATGCTTGCCACTCTGCACAACATGCTCTGTGAGTCATTTACAATAACGACATGTGTGTATTCTTAAGCCAGCAGATGACAGCAGAGACTGCCTCCACCTCCATTCTCACACTAGACGTTGTGATATCATATGCAAGGTTTTGCTGCACTAGGCACTATTCGCTTTTGCTATGAAACCACATGCACTTCGTCTTGAAATAGATGAATCGGCTAACCAGGTAAGCTGTGCTCCGTGGATCCCAGACCACTGTCACATTTAGGAAAATGAAAGAGCAGACTACTTAGCAAATATAGGAAGTCACACAGAACATCCCGATACAGGATGCAGTTATGAGGAAAATAAAACGCAGATCAAGGCAACCCGTGTAACCCATTGGAACACGAAAGAACACAGATAATTATATTTAGATTGCATACTAAACACAGGAGACACTGCAGCCATAAGTAAAAGAAATTCAGTACTGTGTATTCAGAATATTGCTCGTGTTGTCAGTCAACACAGTATACTGAGCTGTACTACAGACTTGTTCTCTACATGCAGTAGGCAGATCCCGGAATTAGCATTCAGTGCTTTATTAATATCCTACCCTCAAATGACAATCACAGGACAGTTCAACATTTTAGAGGGTGGTAAGAGTGGGTTTCCTGGCATTCTGATGCTTTTAACGACCCCAAAGCATCTAGAAATGGTCCTAACCCCTACCTATCTACGTCCCACGAGAAAATGCAGCCTAGGTCCCACGACTACATGCAGCCTAGGTCCCACGACTACATGCAGCTTATCTACCACCCCCTAAAATATTAGACTGTCCCGTGACCTGTGGATTTCCCCTGTTTGGGGTGGGATATCAATAAAGCACCTGGCATTCTAATGAAAAGCAAACTGTATGGGTCATGGGAAGACATGCGTCGCACCAGAGACTTTGTAGAGGCTTGTGACCTCGTGATCTGAAAACCACTGGCAACAAAAGGCAGGAGAAGGATTATTTCTCTTTGTAAGCATTACTGAGACTACTTATATGGACGCCACGCAGGTGGGATAGACCAATGTTCTTCAAGCTATGGGTCGAGGCCAAAAATGTCTGCCTATTTATGTAGCGGGGTAGGGTAAGTCGTCCCCCCCCCCCTCCCCCCGACTGTAGTTTGTAGGATGAAACCCCAAGGATGAGAATCAAACAGGTACAAGTGATATTCAGCATAGCAAGTCAGCAACGAAAGACAGCTAAAAACTTTCATTATTTTTTTTCCTAAAAAATGAGGATCCTGATAGAGGCAAACGTTTTATTAATAATCCCTTCTTGAGAGAAATAACAATCATACGCGGTCGATTATCATAACAAAGAAAAGGTGATCGAGTTTTCTGATGTTAGTCTTGTGTACAAAAACATAAAATGCAATCACTGTCTGAATTGTGGATATCACTTTAAAAAAAAATATCCATGCCTGAGTTATTGAGCTATGAGATGGTTGGTCCCCCCCCCCCCCCCCCCCCCCGAGATTCATTCTTGTAGGAAAGGACTTCGTCAGCCATGTCGGTAATAAAAACCAACACAGAGAAATAGAAAGAATGTTATTGCAGTGCTTCGTCCAACAGATTTAACGCCCCCGCCACGTGTATGAGATTTTCTAGACTTTTTTTTATTTTTCTATGAGTTGACCCCGTTCAACCTGTTATTGAAGGATATAATTAGGGTGTTTGTTGGAGTTCCTTCCTTGTACGTTTGCTTAAAGGTTGCGGTAAATTTAGCTCGTCTTTCAACTGGTCTTTTATTTCAAATTCGTTATCAAAGTACGGCTAGGCTCTCCGGCGTCTGCCTCTCCTTCGCTTCCTGCGTGAGGGTGTTCTTCTGCCGCTTCCTTTGGCGCTACCCTGATAAGAGCTTAATTCTCCTAAGGACTACGCGGGCATGTTCTGTTGCGTCTTGTCCTCTGGCATGTTTCTCATTGGCTGTCGCTGGCAAGAGTTGTCTTAGGTCTGATTGGGCTGCTGTCATCATGGCTGCTGTAGCAGGCGGCATGTCCTTGATCTGCTTGGGCGTCTGTCCTCGTGAATGTCGCCTACCTGTATTTCTCAGTCACTGGCTTGGTCTGAGATATCGTCTTCCTCTTCTTGGTCGTCGTTGTCGAGTGCTTGCTAGATTGTTTTCCAGTTTTTCATCTAGGGTTTGTTCCTTCTCTTCTATTTTTCTCATCGTGGCGTTGCATTCTCGTAAAGTAATTTTATGACATAGGATTTATTAAGTAAACTGCCATCTACATTGCTTTCTGTTTCAGCTTTTTGTTAGGAAAAAACCATGCCGTCCAGATATGGGATGCACTTTTTTTTTTTATTTGAAGGCCCACCCAGGCTTTTGTCAGGGGCCCTAAATATAGTCGCGCCCTTAATTTGGCCTAAAGGCTGAATAAGGTTTCTGGGACCTCTCCACGGGTGATCCTCATCCGCATGGTGGCACTTTGTGTCACCGGGTGTTTATCGCTTTGTATGATGTCCTGGTGGGGTAAAATATACATACATACAAACATACATGTTTTGCTAGCTCTAAGATGAGTTTTCCCGGTTCTTGTTGGCCGCGGATGTAAAAAGATTGAAAAACACTGTACTCAGCCAAGATTGCTTATGCGTATCGGCACGACACCTGTTGATGGTAAGATTATCAGAGATGACAGCAACAGTCAGTGATGACTCCCCAGGGGAGTCCACTCAAGTTATGCACTAGCTGACACTAAACCCGTAACACCTCGGGCTTACTTCAATCGGTTTTGGATTGAACAATTCTCCCCCATCCCATTCTCTCCTTCCTTTCGTTCTCCCTCCAGTGGTTTTCAAATGGCAAAACCGCAGACCTCTATGAAGTCTGTGGTGCGACGCATGTCTTTCACTATTTCACACAGCTTGGTTTTCATTGGAATACCAACCGGCCTAACCTGGAATCTCTCTGCTGCATGTATTGAGCATGTATGTAGCACATGCAAAGATATTCGGTGGTGCATGTCCGTATGGGCACTCATTCAATCCCAAGTTTTGACATTCTGGTACGTATGTCTGAAGAGTCTGTTGTGTCCGGTTAACGTTAGTAGTTTGCCACTGCCACTAAACGGCGGGCTCTCATTACCACTGTCGACACTAACGCAAGGCAATCTGCTACCAAAACCGCCTGCAGCTGGGATCGAACCCGGGTTTCAGACACTACTAAGCGCATCCGCAATGCATAAGCCACTGATGCCGACTTCCGGACAAAAAGGACGCTAGGCACTTTTACTATTGTGAGCCGTGGCAAAATGTTTTGCTTCTGCCAGACGGTGGCCGGTGCATTTTTGCTCCATTTGTAGACTGAAAGGACATAGTTTCGTCGCCCAGCATCTGAGTTGAATGCATGGCGGGACACTGTGAGCTGCGAATTCTGTTTGGAATGGTTTTCTACTGTGACCAACGTATTGGTGTGAATTGTAGATTCAGAAAATGGTGCGATGCCTGTTATCGCAATACTGGTGGTGCCGTTGTGTGATTAAAATTGATCGCATGGGCAACTGCTGATCTGTGGGTGACTTCTGCTACCATCCATGATGAACTGCATTTCTAAGGTTGGACTGTTTGTGTTAGCACTTCGGATGGCTACCGTATGCTTTTAATGCGTGTGTATGCTAGTGCATATGCTGAGACAGCAGTTTGTCAATCTTTCCACAAGAGACTGTGATAAACATTCTGTGTGATTTTCGTTGGCACAGGAGCGGAGCAACTATGGGGTGACCTGTTTGCTATGAAGCTGAAACTAAGATTACTAGATTACTGATGCCGACAGTGTAACTTGTACGCAGTCTGTTTCTTTCGTGTGAGGAGGTTGATTGAAGGTAAAGATGTAATTATTTTTAAAAAAATGTAATATGTTTGTAAATGTATCCTACAGGATGATGATGAATACATTGGCTTTGCTACGCTACCTGAGCAGGTCCACAGGAAGGCGGTGAGGAGAGGATTTGATTTTACACTGATGGTTGTAGGTAAGCCTAGCAGACTTGATGTTTGCACCTAGAGATGATTTGAGCATTCTTTTTCAGACATCAGCTATTGACATACCACATGATACGAGATTCAGGTGGTGGTGTGAGATGACGAACAATGTCCGACTACGCTCAATCGCCAGGGCTGCCAAAAAAGAGCTTTTGAAAAACCCAGCTAAGCTGAACAAAAACCCAAGCAATACATAGACAAACAACAAAAAATAAAACAAAAACCCTAGATTGTTGAAAATTACAAATTTTATACTTACGAAACGAAATATTTACCTACTTTTATATAAGGATATATATATATTTCTCGAACCCAGATTTCAAAATTTGAACCCAAGGCGTCAAATAAAAACCCAGATCTAGAAGTAAAAACCCAGTATTGGCAGCCCTGCTCGCCGCATAACAGAAATGATCAGGGCTGCCAATACTTGGATTTTCTCCCAAGATCTGGGTTTTTATATAACGCCTTGGGTTCCAATATTTTAATCTTGGGTTTTTAAAATATCTATCGTTTTATAAACAGGGCTGGACTTTTTTTTTTTTTAAATGACCTTTCCAGGTCGACTCAGCCTTGAGTGGGTACCAGGTGCAGTCTTTGGAAGTAGAGGCGGCCGGCGTGATGATGAAAACATCACCAAACCAGGTGCTAATTGGTCTATATAGGTCTGGTCCTATGTTTCCAATACGCCTAAAGGCGTGGAAAATGGACCTTTACTTTATTTACTTCAATATAAGTAGGTAAATGTTTCGTTTCGTAACCATAAAATTTGTACTTTTTATCATTCTTGGAATTTTTTGTTTTTGTTTTTGCTTATGTATTTTTTAAAAAATTAAAGGACCCTTTTCTACGCCTTAAGGCGTGTAGGGCACAAGATGGGTGGTGTGGTCAGCATCACGCCGGTCGCCTTTACTTCCCGGGACTGCACCCGGTACCCACTTAAGGCTGGGTCGACCTGGGAGTCAAGGTAAGTTTTGAAAAAGTCCGGCTCTGCCAGGGAGCGAACCCACGACCTTCCGATCCGCACGCGAGCGTCTAGCCGCTACGCCACGGCGACTCCCTTGCTTATTTATAGCTTGGGTTTTTTGGTCAGCTTAGCTTGGGTTTTGATAAAAAGCCCATTGGCAACCCTGATGATAATGGTATCAGATAACGGCACAAAGTAAACGGAACTATTCTGGGACAAGCTAGTGTATTCAGTTTTTTGGGGGGCACCTTAATAACAGCTGATGGAAGATGCATTGAAGAAGTTACACGTAGCATAGCCCAAGCAAAAGCAACAGTTAACATAAAGGTTCAAGTCTTCATTTTCTTCTCCACTTCCTCCTTTGCCACTTCTGGGGTCGAGGGAAATATAAGGCTTCGCTTCTCGCTCTCCTGGCCGCCTCGTGCCAGACATATCATGCTGTTGCAGAATTTCGTTTATGTTATCTTTCCATCTTGCTATAGGTCTGTCGGTGCTTTGTTAATATCCTACCCCAAACAGGGGAAATACACAGGTCATAGGGCAGTCTAATATTTCAGAGGGGGGTAGATAGGCTGCATACAGTCGTGGGACCTAGGCTGCATACAGTGGTGGGACCTACGCTGTATTTTCTCATGGAATGTTGGTAGGTTGTGGTTAGGGCCAGTTCTAGATGCTTTGGGGTCGTTAAAAGCGTCAGAAAGCCGGGAAACCCGGTCTTACCACCCTCTAAAATGTTGCACTGTCCTGTGACTTCATCGGGGTAGGATATTAATAACGAACTGGTCTGTCTTCCTTATACTCTTGGTCTGTCTTGGCTTGGGGTGGAGAGCTAGCTATCACAGTACGTGGTTTGCTTTACTGCAAATAGTCCTAATTTCTTAATCCAGTCTCCCATCTTCGGTGAATGTTGTTCCCATATATTTCAACACATGTGTTAGGTTCAAGTACTTGCCACAAACTATCTATTACAATTCTTCTTTGTAAAGTCCATGCCGTGTGGCGTTGGTGGTCATGTCTATCCACAGCCTTCTGTCTCGTGTACTTTTAATCAACTCTGACACAGATGATCCTCCATGCCATGATGTCAAACCGTCCAGCATCTGTTCTCTCGGTCTCCCTCTGCCTCTCCTTCCCTCCAACTTTCCTACTGTCACGATGTACTCCAGTTTTCTCTTTCTCATCACATGACCAAAGAATGTAGATTGTCTCTTTCTGATGTGGGCAATTAGTTCTCTTCGTGAGTCAGTTTCTTTCAAGACATCTTTATTACTCTTTTTATCTGTCTCTGTCCAGGGTGTTATCGTCATAATTCTATAAAACCAAATCTGGGCAGTTTCCAAAAAAGTTTTCACTATCTAATACAGTAGCGCTGAAAAATTATACCTAGCAAACGTGACAGTACTGTTTACCGCCAGAAAAAGGCTCTGGCAATAAGAAGTATACATGTAAGTAAAGTAAAGTAAAGTTCCCTTTTCACGTCTTTCGGCGCATCGGGCATATGGGCAGAGCGTCCCATATTTTTACAGACCATCAGCACTCTGTGGGTAATGTGGTCAGCATTACGCCGGCTGTCTTTACTTTCCCAGGACAGCCCATCCTGGTACCCATTTTAGGCTGGGTCGATCTGCGACATGTAACATATCCTTATCAAATAGAATGAAAGTTACAGGGTTGGTGGGACAGCAAGAGATTAGTTTCGGGAGATGAAGAATAAACGCTGATGTTGGATAACACACGCGTTGAGAAAACCTAAGAACAATATAACGGCAATTTTTTTTAAATTTTCAAAGCTCACCACTTACCAGTGACCCTACAGAAAAACCCCTCGTGACCCCATTTATGATGAGCCATTTCTCAAATACCACTTTCAATTAAGCTGCAGGCGAGTTGGCAGCAGACTACTTTGTATGTTTTCCACAATGATATGAAGAGCCAGCTGTTTATTCGTAATAGCAAACTACTGAACCTAAACCTAAAATTGCTTTGTACAGCAAACTACTAAACCTAAAATTGGTCAATACAACAAACTACTAAACTTAAAATTGCTTAGTAAAGCAAAATTCTAAACCTAGAATTACTTAGTACGACAAACTACTAAACATAAAATTGCTTGGTACAGCAAACTACTGAACCTAAAATGTCTTAGTAAAACACACTACTTAACTAAAATTATTTGGTATAACACACTACTGAACCTAAAATTGCCCAGTACAACAAACTCCTAAACCTTCTTCTTCTTCTTTCATTCGCCTGAAATAAGTTGTCTACATCAGCAATTTTATCTCTTGTAATATTTTACTGTTGTTGTTAATTCATTCAGTGGTCCATAGAGTTTACGTTTCACTGTTGTTCTTTCTGGCCAAAAGGTTTGCCTTAATTTGTCAAATTCGGTGCAGTCCTGGAGTACATGCTCTTCTGTCTGGGGCACCTTTCCACAGGTGCACATGGCTAATACGCCTATTTTGAATTCTGTGTACATGTGGTTACGTAATCGGTTGTGCCCTGTTCTGAGGCGGAGGATAATGACTTGTTCTGATCTGTCCAAAATAAAATAGTCGTCTTGTGCTGGAGCTGGTGGTTTCCTGTTTGATTTAATGATTCTTTTCTTTTGGTGGTCTGTGACTGGTACATCCGGCTGCACTTTTGTCGCACCTACCCTGCCAGTTGATCAGCTTTCTCATTTCCAGGCACTCCACAATGAGACGGTATCCACTGCATTACAACTCTTTGCTGAAGGCTAAGTTGTGTCAGCAGTGTTTGCAATTCTGGTAGTTTCCTAGACTGGAGTGCTTCAAGTACTGATTTTGCATCTTTCAGCATTACTACATACTAGGAGCCAAGATTGGTATTTAGCAGTTTATCTGTTGCTATCTTGATAGCCTGAGTTTCTGCATCATAGTTATGGCAGTACTTTCCGGTTGGTACGCTGGACTTATCCCTAGTACCATCTGGGAATTCTATGTACACTCCAGCACTACCATTTCCAACTGCACTTTCTGCGGACCCATCTGTATAGACTCTGGCCCATTGTTCTTGTGGGTATTCTTCATCAATATAACTGAGGGTGGCCATTCTGCGTTGTACACTATCTTGTTCTTTCTTGTCAAATATTCCTTTCACATTTGTCTGGATTTGTACTGTTAGTTTGCATTTCTCTCTCCATGGGGTTTGTTCTGGAATACTGTTAAGTGGAAAACCAATTTATGGAAGGTCAGCAGTTTGTCTATATATTCTCTTTGCTTGATGTATAAAGCTGCTTCTTTTTAACCGTCCCAAGGCTAGGTTCTTAAATCTATTTTTCATGGGGTGATCTGGCATACTAAGGAACTTTTCAGCTTGTATTTGCAACTTTGTATCTCTGCGTTCTTTCAGTGCCTGTGTTTTCCCAGCTTTCTCCATTTCTAAAATGAGGGTTGATTTCATCCCTCCTGTGATGACTCTGAGTGCTTGATTTGCACTTTGTCCAACTCATTTAATGTGGTACTAGATGCTGAACACCATGCAGTTGACCCATATTCCAAGTGTGGAAGTATGCTCTGCTTGTATACTTTATTGAGTATTTTCCCACTGGCTCCCCATATGGTTCCACTTAGTTTTCTTAGTATTGCTGTCTTCCTCCTGGCTTTGGTTGCTGCCTTGTTGATATGTTTTCTCCATGTCAACCTGTCATCAAATGTGACTCCGAGGTACGTGGGCTCTTTATCATCTCTTTGGGGTATTCCGTTTATTTTGATGATGCCCGCTTTTTGCTTTGGGAAAGAGTGAAGAGTGTGGTGCTACATTTGTCTGTATTGATGCTGACACACCATCTATTCGCCCATGCCTCAAGTGCATATGTAGCGCGCTGTAGTGTTCTTGTGGCTATCGTTGCATGTTCATCGGTGCACCACAGTTCCAGGTCGTCGGCATACATTGCCATTTTGATTCCATTTGGTATTTTAGCAACCAGGCCATTGATGAATAAGAGGAAAACTCCTAAACCTAAAATTGCTTAGTAAAGAAAACTACGAACCTAAAATTTCTTAGTACAACAAACTACTGAACATAAAATTGCCCAGTACAGCAAACTACAAACCTAAAATTGCTTAGTATAACACACTACTGAATTTAAAATTGCTTAGTACAGCTAACTACTGAACCTAAAACTGCCTAGTACAGGAAACTACGAACCTAAAATTGCTTAGTATATCACACTACTGAATTAAAAATTGCTTAGTACAGCAAACTATTGAACCTAGAATTGCTTAGTACAACTAATACTGAACCTAAAATTTCTCAGTACAGCAAACTACGAACTTAAAATTGCTTTGTATAACACACTACTGAATTAAAAATTGCTTAGTACTACAAACTACTAAACCTAAAACTGCTTAGTACAACTAATACTGAACCTAAAATTGCTTTGTATAACACACTACTGAATTAAAAATTGCTTAGTACAGCAAACTACTAAACCTAAAATTGCTTAGCACAACTAATACTGAACCTAAAATTGCTTTGTGTATAACACACTACTGAATTTTAAATTGCTTAGTACAACAAACTACTGAACCAAAAACTGCATAGTACAGCAAACTACAAATCTAAAATTGCTTAATACAACAAACTACTAAACCTAACATTACATAGTACAGCAAATGACTGAAAGTAAATTTGCTTAGTACAGCAAACTGCTGAACCTAAAATTTCTTAGTACAGCAAACTACTGAAAGTAAAATTGCTTATTACAGCAAACCATTAAACTTAAAATTGCTTAGTACAGCAAACTACTGAAAGTAAAATTGCTTAGTACAGCAAACCTTTAAACTTAAAATTGCTTAGTACAGCAAACCATTAAACTTAAAATTGCTTAGTACAGCAAACAACCAACAAATACTGAGGTTGGTTTCCAAAGTCTTGTAAAGAAAATGCAACTAAGTTTTTATAAGCTTGTATTAAGTTAGCTTTTTTTTTTTTTTTTTTTTAAATTTAACAATATAGGGATAATTAGCTTCTATAACAACGATCCTGATATGCCATTGTTATGTCTTTGTGGTATTAGTTTGTCTAAACCCAAGCATGAAACTGCAATTTTTTCATTGTTTATTCCCAGGTGAATCTGGACTGGGGAAATCAACCCTGGTCAACAGCCTGTTTCTCTCAGATCTCTACAATGACAGGGAACTGCCCAGTGTGAAAGGTTAGTCTTGAATATTGCTTTTGTGTGTGTGTGCTTATTGTGTCCAGTCCGGTTTATTTCTCTAAGATTCTGCAGTAACAGGGAGCTCCCCAGTGACAGTTGGAGTCTTACCTTTTTCAGTTCTTTGCAGGTTTTACCTCCAAGCTTTTTAACATAGGGAATAGTATTTGAGGATATATTAGATGTCTGAGCTGGGCATGGATGCAACCTATGGCTGCCAGATGTGAGCTTTTCACCAAGGACACAAGACGTTCATATTACCTGGCTATAAGTTGAGGTTCAAACTTTGCAAACGGGTCACATCAGAAATGTTCCTCTCCTATACTAGTAAAACCCCCGTGTGGGTTCCGGGGCCCCATTGTGGGGGAAAACAAGAATAGACCCACTGCCTCTCCAAAAGCATGTCATAAGAGTCGACTAATTGGGGAGCTTCCTTTGAAGTCGGAGTGCATCTGCCGGAGAGGCAAGGAACCAACAGTCCGTATTCAAGAGAATGAGATCTGTAAAACTGATGCACACGCAACACTCAGGTTCTGGAGAAGGACTGCAGTTTAGTAGTGGACGAGCAACCAGAACCTTCCGCCAGAGTGTACAGCTGGTGAACGCGGAGAAGAAGAAGAAGTATACTAGTAAAAGCCACACAAAATTCCATCACTGCCCAGTGTGAAAGGTCAAACAGCAAACAGACAACAGGCCCGGCAACATCCTAAAATTCACACACGCATCAAATTCATAAGGCAGTCGCTAGAGGTGCCATCTCCAACAGGCTGTCTCCAAATTTCTATTCATAGTTGATAAGTTGATGAACCAGCATTCACAACAAATCATCAGGTGCCCACGTTTTACAGCATAAACCAAACAGACAATCTTGTGGCACTCAGCAATTTTCTGAATATGCTGTTTACAACACAATCTCTGGGAGTGCAGACAACAGACATTCTCTATGACGTTTATAGCTTACAGTGTCGCACTAGGCACTCAAAACAGTAGCTGGCCAATAGAACCGGATTTCGCCATCTCCTCATGTGTTGTTCCATCCACTTTTCTAGTAGGGGTTTAAATTTCAATCTCCCACTGGTTTACTTGCGTGACAATGAATCAGGTCCATGTTCTTGTTCCATCCACTTTCCTTGTGGTAGTTTAAATGTCATCCTCCCACTGCATTAATGGTGAGATAATGAACCAGGCTTGTGCTCTTGTTCCATCCACTTTCCTTGTGGTGGTTTAAATGTCATCCTCCCACTGGAGTACTGGTGAGACAATGAACCAGGCTTGTGCTCTTGTTCCATCCACTTTCCTTGTGGTAGTTTAAATGTCATCCTCCCACTGGAGTACTGGCGAGATAATGAACCAGGCTTGTGCTCTTGTTCCATCCACTTTCCTTGTAGTGGTTTAAATGTCATCCTCCCACTGCATTACTGGTGAGACAATGAACCAGGCTTGTGCTCTTGTTCCATCCACTTTCCTTGTGGTGGTTTAAATGTCATCCTCCCACTGGAGTACTGGCGAGATAGTGAACCAGGCTTGTGTTTTTGTTCCAACCAAGCCAGACAGCCAAGATATACAGGTCTTCTCTGTGTTTTTTTCTTAATGTTTCAGTTGCCTGTTGTCATCCCATTTTCAAGTCCATTCCTTCTCAAAAAATGTCCATTGCCAGTTGTCATTACATTTGACATGTATTCCTTCTCATTACTTGTCCATTGCCAGGTATCACCCCATTTTCAAGTTAATTTCTTCTCACTACATGTCCTGACAACTCTGAAATGTATGTTATAGAAACGGTTCCCATCTTGGATGCAATTTTTTTGTTATTCTAAAGCCCCCTTCTGACTGTTGTTTGGGGACCTTAATATAACCTAATGATTGAACAGGGTTTCTGGGACTTGTGCCCGTGTGATTCTCATCTGAACGGTGGCAATTTGTGTCACCAGGTGTTTAGCTCTGGTTGTGTAGTCCTGGTGGGTTTAAACTTCATTCTTTCAAATGTATGTTGATTCCTCTAACCAGTATACTATTTTTAACTGTCCTTAGTAAGATTGCTTTATTTTGTTTTCTGTGATTTAATGGTATTCTTTTTATTTGTCCTAGAAACCCTAGTCTTCTTTTACCAATAGATGTTTTTAAACATATCTGCTTATTGTCTGTGCTTCACATATCATCACATAGCAGGCCCTTTCTCATTACAATCTGCCTAAAAGGAACTCTGTCTCTCTTGCCAGCTCTTCCATCTGGTCCACTTTCCTACCCATGGCGTTACTTATATCATGTACCAACCTTCGTTTTGGTCAGCACCAGCGCCTCTTTCCTGGTACCATGCCTTCTGCTTTTTTTTTTTTCAATCCGCTACTATGGCGAAAAGATTTCAGTGTCCCAAACAAGATGCTGTTTCCAAGCTTAAGACCTACTGATCTGCAGGCAAGCATCTAGCCTCTACATCATGGAAGCTCCCGGTTAATCACGTATTTCAGTATTAAGTTAGCCACTAGTAAAGTAATTGGAAAGTAATTCCAAAACAAAACAAAATTATAGTAGTAGTACATTTTACCCCACTAGGACATCACACAAGCGATAAACACCCGATGACACAAAGTGCCACTATGCGGATGAGGATCACCCGTGGAGAGGTCCCGGAAACTGTGTTCAGCCATTAGACCATATTTATGGCCTGGTTATTTTGCGGCCCCTGAAGTAGGGCTTCAAATAACGAAAAATTGCATCCCAAAAATGGATGACAAGATGTGTAATTGATGGCATAAATTTTAGTCTTAGGTTGATCTAGAATAGTCTTTCTAACAAGAACTGCCTTTTCATTAGGGATTGGATTGGATTGGCTTTTTACCCCACCAGGACATCACACAAGCGATAAACACCCGATGACACAAAGTGCCACCATGCGGATGAGGATTGCCGTGGAGAGGTCCCAGAAACCGCGTTCAGACATTTGGCCATAATGATGACCTGCCTATATTGCGGCCCCTGGCAAAAGCCAGAGTGGGGCTTCAAATAACAAAAAATAACGTCCTAAGAAGGACGTAAGAAATTATTATGCTTTTCATTAGGGAAGTTGAAGTAGGGATTTGTGAAAAATAATCTGTTCAACCCTCAGGGTTATAAATGGAGAATTGACAACATGGTCGCCAGGTCAGCAGAAAAGTGCGCTAGCCATTTTGCTACTAAAACTCTCTCATTCCCTCCCACTATTTCTCTCTCTCTCTCTCTCTCTCTCTCTCTCTCTCTCTCTCTCTCTCTCTCTTTACCAGTAGTTAGAAGCTCACAGCTGCTGAAGCATTGGGTATATACAGGCCACGCTAACATAGTGAGGTCTGAGGGAGACACCAGGAGAGACATTAGCAAAAACAACTTTTTTATTCTAAAGGGCCATAACTACTGCTGTTTTTTCCAGATCAAATTGAAAGAACAGTTAACATAGAGAAGAAACAACTGGAAATCGAAGAAAAGGGAGTCCGCCTGAAGCTAACAATTGTGGACACCCCCGGATTCAACGATGCTATTAATGGCGAGAACAGGTGAGAGCTGGTTCTGGTCTTATTATATATTGAACTGTACAAATCAGGGAAGGTAACCCTTTTAACAAAGGCTTGATGAAGTCAGATATGTCGTTTTTGTGTTTCTCCTCATCCCCTTGTGGGATGCAATTTTGCATTATTTTGAAGACCCACCCTTTTGCCAGGGGCCGCAGTATAGCCTTATGATTGAACGCGGTTTCTAGGGCCTCTTCACGGGTGATCCTCATCCACATGGTGGCACCTTGTGTCACCGGGTGTTATCACTCTGTGTGATGTCCTGGTGGAATAAAATTTACTTACATACTAGTTGTGTCAAGTGAAAGTTGCAAGTATCACAGGCACCACAAAATTACTTCACTCAGGCGAATGAGAAAAAGAACAACAACTATAATATAGACATATTATTAAACCATATATGCAGATTAAATACATTTTGTTTCATCGGTTGGCTTGTTCATAAGTTTATTGGCTGCTTGATTACCCAGTATAATGTGTGATTAGTTGCTCCACTAGTTGGTGGGCATGTTTATTGATTGACTGGTTGTTTGCCTATTTGGTTTGTTGCTCCATTGTTTGGTTTGTTTATTGTTTGGTTTACTCATTGTTTGGTTGGTTTTTTGCAATAGCTAATTTAAATAATGTGGATACAAACAATACATTGCACAATTTATTGCCAAGCATATTTCACTGTATCTCATCAGGTGCGTTCCATCCAGTCGCTTCACTGTTGGTTGTGGGAGGTGACGCTTAAGATATTCAAAACAATGTTTTCCTGTAATGAATTTAAATAATGCGGATACAAACAATACATTGCACAATTTATTGCCAGGCATATTTCACTGTATCTCATCAGGTGCGTTCCATCCAGTCGCTTCACTGTTGGTCGTGGGAGGTGACGCTTAAGCTAGTTTGTTGCTTGATTGGTTGACTTATTAATTGGTTGGTTGATTGCCTAGTGTGTTGCTTCACTGGGGCGATTGTTTATTTGTCAGTTGCTTGATTAACTAGTTTGTTGCTTGACTGGTCTTTCTTTAATTAGTTGGTTGTTGCATTAATTAGCTAGATTGTTGCTCTGATTGGTTGGTTGTTTCATTTATTGTTTGATTGTTGCATTAGCTAGTTTATTGTTTGATTGGCTGGATTATTTATTGATTTTGTTGATTGTTCATTGGCTGTTTGGTTGTTGCATTATCTAGTTTGTTGATTGATTGTTTTTGTTTTTAATTTGTTGGTTGGATGTTTATTAGCTAGCTACTTGAGTCATTGATTAGCTGGTTCCTTGATCAGTTAACTGGTTAATGAATTGATTGACTCACTGCTTGTTGATTGAAACCTTGATTTTCTGGTGAATAATTGAAACCTTGATTTTTCTAATGAACTATCACTTCGATTGTAAACAGACACAATGATCATGTCCCACTTTTCTTACATAGATCACAAAAGAATAGCAATATTAAATCTATCTCTGGAGTATGCACCTGCCACAATAAGGTGAAATATTTAACGCAATAAATTGCTCAAACTGTTGTTTGTGTCACCACCTTCTGCATTTGATTTTTTCTGTGTTTTTCAACAGCCACAAAACCCTGCTGGACTATGTCGATGAGCAGTTCAAACGTTACCTTGATGACGAGTCTGGCTTAAACAGGAGAAACATTATAGACAACAGAGTTCACTGCTGCCTCTACTTCATTTCACCCTATGGACATGGGTAACAGTTTTAATAATTAAAATATTGATAATTTAAATGTTGAATGTATACTTCTGGAGCACTGGAAAAAATCGGGATGACTGGAAAGATCACTGCTAGAAGATGCAGAGACAGACCAAGAGAAAAAATGGTGGATGGCTTAAGACAGTGGCCTGGAGGAATATCATCAGTAGAATGTATCCAGAACACCAAAGACTAAGATCTGTGGAGATACTTGAATGCCTGTGCCAGCTGGCAAGGCACTGGATGATTGATACTACTAAGCTTATTTAGGAGAACAAAGTAATTTAGGTCTTTCATATAGTGTTCAGAATATAAATGTATACTTTCCCATAAAGTATCTGGATATAAATGTATACCTTTCCATAAAGTATGTGGATATAAATGTAGTTTCCCATAAAGTATCCAGATATAAATGTATAGGTTCCCATAAAGTATCTGAATATAAATGTATAGTTTCCCATAAACTATCTGGATATAAATGTAAACTTTTCCATAAAGTATCTGGATATAAATGTATATTTTCCCATAAAATATCTGGATATAAATGTATATTTTTCTATAAAGTATCTGAATTTAAATGTGTCTTTTCCCATAAATTATCCAGATATAAATGTATACTTTCCCATAAAGTATCTGGATATAAATGTGCACTTTTCCATAAAGTATCTGAATATTAATGTACACTTTTCCATAAAGTATCCAGATACAAATGTTAACTTTCCCATAAATTATCTGGATAATAATGTATACTTTTCACACTAATTATTCAGAATATAAATGTATACCTTTCATATAAAGTTTTCAGAATATAAATATATACTTTTCACATAAATTGCTTAGAACATAAATTTCTACCTTTAACACAAAGTTGACAGTATAAATATATACCTCTCACATAAGTATTCAGAACATAAATTTATATCATTCACTTGAAATGTTCAGAATATAAATTTGTAACTTTTACATAAATTGTTTAAAATATAAATGTATCTTTAATATAAAATAATGTGTACATGCTGTACCTCTGCAGCAAGTCAGCGATAAAGTACAAATAATGACTTATTTCAATGGACCTACAGCTGGAAATGAGTTCAATGACCACACACAATCACCTGATCTTAGTATAAGCCAGGAAAACTATTCCGAACAGTTGTGGATTTAATGTTTTTACAGATGGATCAGCAACCAGTGCATTTGAAATGTGGGGTGGAGGGATGCTGGCATCTGTATCACATACCCAGACAACAAACCACCACTCGAAGTATATACCCACTGGTAAATTCTGTTCCAACTACACAGCTGAGGTCCTATCACTGGAGCAGGCTGCCGACATATTACACAGCACCAGTTCTGACTGCCACCGAGTGGTCATCTTCACAGATGTGCTGTCGGTGCTTCAAAGTCCTCACGAGCGATAAACTCCTTCACCAGAGATCTGGGCTTGGCAAGTTGGCTGCCCAGAAACATCTGTACTCCAGTGTGTGCCATCCCACTGTGGTATATCAGGAAACCAAACTGCAGATAAACTTGCAAAGAAAGAGGTGGAATGTGAACAGGAAACAATGTAGTAACATGCTTTGGTTAAAAATAAATGGCCATTCAATCTATCAGAAGTGAATAGAATCTGGCCAGAGATGGTTACCTCTTGCTTGACTGGCAGGTTATTTATTCTGTGCCTCAGGACAGGGCATAACAGACTTAACAAGCACAGGCTTCATCTAAGTTAGTTGAGAGAATCAACTTCTTTATACTGGGTTTTATCCCATATGGCTCTCTTCCCGCAGAATGGCTAGCCAACTACCCAGAGCGCCTCACAGAGTATGAATCCTGTAGCTCCGATGACGATTCTCAGGAATCTCTGTAATCATTGCACTCGTGAGCAGAATGGTGTAGCCGTGAAATGAACCCACAAGCATGAGGCAAATAAATTGACCACATCACCATGGTCTCAGTAGATTCACCGTTGTGGATTGTGTATGCAAACTGCACTCAGTAGATTCACCGTTGTGGATTGTGTGTGCAAACTGCACTCAGTAGATTCACCGTTGTGGACTGTGTGTGCAAACTGCACTCAGTAGATTCACCGTTGTTGATTGTGTGTGCAAACTGTACTCAGTAGATTCACCGTTGTGGATTGTGTGTGCAAACTGCACTCAGTAGATTCACCGTTGTGGACTGTGTGTGCAAACTGCACTCAGTAGATTCACCGTTGTTGATTGTGTGTGCAAACTGTACTCAGTAGATTCACCGTTGTGGATTGTGTGTGCAAACTGCACTCAGTAGATTCACCGTTGTGGATTGTGTGTGCAAACTGTAGAACATATACTGCAAGTCTGTCCATTGTACAGCCCATTAAGAAGAGAATACTGGCCAAATGAGTCAACACCATACTCAGGATTGTAAGAAACTAAAGAGGAACTCTTTAAAAAATGGTCGGTTTTATCAGAAAACACATCTGCTGGTGAGAGAGTGATCACAAGAAGAAGAAGAATATAAAATAGTCACACAATATAACTGACTGTAATATAAAATAGTCACACAATATAACTGTCTGTAATATAAAATAGTCACACAATATAACTGTCTGTAATATAAAATAGTCACACAATATAACTGTCTGTAATATAAAATAGTAAGAAATATAAAATGTCTTAAATATAACATTCTCAGAATATAAATGTCTTTAATATAAAATAGTAAGAAATATAAATGTGTCTTTGATGTAAAATTCTCAAATATAAATGTGTCTTTAATGTATAATTCCCAGAATATAAATCTTTCTTTAATGTATAATTCTCAGAATATAAATGTGTCTGTAAAGTAAAATCCTCAGAATATAAATGTGTCTTTATTGTAAAATCCTCAAAAAATAAATGTGTCTTTATTGTATAATCCTCAAAAAATGAATGTACTTTTAATGTATAATTCCCAGAATATAAATATGTCTTTAATGTATAATTCCCAGAATATAAATGCGTCTTTAATGTATAATTCAGAGAATATAAATGAATTTTGTTTATTTCATGTCAAAGTGCATTAGTATGAATTATTTTATTTTGTTGTTGAAAAAAACAACATGCCAATTTTAAACAATTTTCAATTTCCAGTATTCAAAAGCTGCACTACCATTTTCCCGTCTGCACTTAAAACTGCTACTCAAATTTCAGGTTGCGTCAAATTGATGTCCAGACAATGAAGAAGTTGCACAATAAAGTGAACATAGTCCCCCTTATAGCCAAAGCCGATATCCTGACTGCCCAGGAACTTAGGAGAATGAAGAACAGGGTGAGCTTTAAAATGATCATCATCATGTTGTGCCACACATGACTTGTATTCTAGTCCTCCATTTTGCTCTTTACTGTGCAATCCTTTTGTTATCATAGGCCTTTCTCTTGGATGCCCTCGTTTCCTCATTTTTATTTTTTTTCAATTTTGTTGTTGATTTCAGTGCCTGTTAAGTGATTCTCAGTCGATTTCTTCTCATTATGTGCCAAAAAATATTCCCATCTTCTTTTCTGTGTAACAGCTGATACTAGACATGAAGCTTTTTAAATTATCATATAAATTTCTCAGATCTTCTTTTCAAAGTCTATGTTGTGTGGTGTTGGTAGTCGTGTCTATCCCCAACCTACTGTTTCATGTACTTTCAATCAACTCTGACACAGACGTTCTTCCATGTCAAACTGTCCAGCATCTTCTCTATGTGCCTCCCTCTGCCTCTCTTTGCCTTAAACTTTCCTACTGTCATGAAATACTGCTGTTTTTTCCTTCTTATCACATGATCATAGGTTGTACATTGTCTCTTTCTGATGTGGACAATTAGTTCTCTTCGTGAGTTAGTTTCTTTGAAGACCTCTTCATTGCTCTTTTTTTTGTCTGCCCAGGGTATTCTCATCATTCATCTATTAAACCACATCTTTGCAGCTTCCAAATATCTACCAACTGTCCATGACTCTTGTCTTCTAAAATTGTCCCTGTATTACCTCCCTTTCATTATCCGTCCATGATATATTGACTATTTTAATATGTTTTATATTAAATATATATTGTAAATATATAATTATAAATATATATAAACGCAGCTGTCAGCATGCAACAGCTGCCACCCACCCCCTATCCTGGGCAACAGCTTTGACAGGCTGGCTAAACCAGGAGAAGGTAGCCTACCTGGTTCTGAACCCCTCAGTGATTTTGATTTGCCTACCCTGCATGCAAAAACTGGACTCGGTGGATTGTGCGAATGAAACCTCTTATTGGTTCAATGGACAAGAAGGCAATTACCAGCAGACTCTGGAGAGCTTTGAGCAAGGCAGGGCACTTAAGACGCCTTGGTCATCCACTGCACTAAGGTCCCTTTCCAATCGTCTTGACATTGTCCTGCCATTGGATCAAGATGGTCACAGGTGAGAGAGTGAGGTCGACGAATTGCGCAACTCTTCCTCACTTAAATCCAAGTCCTTGCACAAGTTAATTACATCCAGACTATCACCATAAATGATCAAAAGCTAAATGAAGTCGACAGATTCACTCATCTTGGCAGTTCCCTATCTCAGAGAGTCTACATCGACGATGAGATCAATGTTATAAGCCCATACCAGTTAACAAGTCACTTAGTGAAAATAATTATTCTGACTTTTCCTTTTTCAGATACTCCAAGAAATTGACGAGTATGGGATTCACATCTACGAGTTTCCAGACTGCGACAGTGATGAGGATGAGGATTTCAAACAGCAGGACAAAGAATTGAAGGTTTGTCTTACATGGTTAAATTTTTAAAAACTGGGCTTAAATAATATCCTACCCCAAACAGAAGAAATCCACAGGTCACGGATCAGTCTAATATTTCAGGAGTGGTAGATAGGTTGTTTGCAGTCGTGGGACCTAGGCTGCGTGCAGTTGTGGGATCTAGGCTGCACTTTCTTGTGGGACATAGGTGGGTTAGGGTTAGGGCCAGTTCTAGATGTTTTAGGGTCGTTAAAAGCATCAGAAAGCTGTGACATCATCTGGGGTAGGATATTAATAAAGAACCAAAAAAAAATTATTCATTTAGTTTCCAGGGCCCCATGAGAAACAGCATGGTGGATGGGAGGAGGGACAGATCAGCTGTTCCCAACATACACACAAATTGACTCATTAGGAATGTTTGCTTTCAGAGTCATAGTACATCAGTCTGAGAGGTGAGGAACAATCAGTCTGCATACAAATAACCCAGATCAGTAAAATGGATATGCACAACTCAAGTTCTGCAAAAAAAGACTAACATCTGGGACTGAATGAACAGTCAGAACTTTCTACTAGAGTTTAGGCTATTAGTAGTTAAAGATAATTGTTTTCACGATTATATTTATGGGAAGAATAGACTGGGAAATAGAAACAAGATGCCAATGAACCAGTGCACTCAAGTACCAACTGAAACCATTATTAAGACATCCAAAAATAAGTATGAAAACCAAGAAACAGATTATAAACAGTATATTCTTACCAACATTGTACTAGCAGTGCCCGATTTGGACATTATCAAAGGCTAACCTACCTAAAATTAACACCTGTGAAATGAGATGCCTGAGAAGAGCTGCCAACTTAACCATCTAAAACAAAGTTAGAAATCATATTATCAGACAGACTGTAGGAACAACAGCAAATTCACTGAGAACCAGAAGATCAAATGGTTTGGTCATTTAGCAAGAATGCAGCCAGAACAACTACCAATGCAGGCCCTACACATGAAAAGATCTGAAGTGAAAGCAAGAGGCCTCCTTAGGAGAATATGGATTGATGATATTAAAGAGATTCTACATTGACAAGGAATAACAATAGCCATTGCTGCCCATCAAGCAATGGATCGCAAACTGTTTCTCCCCACAACACTAAACAGCAAAAGTGGAAATTGATGATGATGACTGGTGATCAGGTTTCTGTGTATGTATATATGTGTGTGTGTGTGTATGTATATATATTTATTTGTTTTTGTTTCATTGTTTGCTTTGTTTTAGCCACTATTAAAATGATCACTGAATATTTTCTGAAGCAGCACCCCCACCTACCATTAACTTTATCTATGAGCTACCACTGCATTTCACAAACTTTATTCAACAAACACTCAGTGTTTGCCTTTGTTTTCTGAAGCACAGACCTGCCCTACAAGCCCAGTGTTGTATACACAAAAAGGGCATGCTGCAAGTTTTAGTTCACACTGGTAGTACAAGCAATCACATCTGACTGTTGTGTGTTTGTATGTCAGTTACAAAGATGTCTTTTTTTTTTAAAATTTATTTCATCTAGTTTAATTTTATAATATGCACCTGATGAAAAACAACCAAATTTGCCAGGAAAAAAAAAAGTGCAGTATATTGTTTGTGTGTTCTGTGTTTAATTTTATTATATGGTATCGCCGCCTCAATTAATTAAATTTTGCCTTTCAGGCTTCCATTCCATTTGCGGTGGTTGGCTGCAACACAGTGGTGGAGGCTGGAGGGAAGAAAATCAGAGGCCGAGCTTACCCTTGGGGTATAGTTGAAGGTGAATATGGCTGCCTGAAATAGATAGGGGTTAACAGGAAGAAGTTGTGAAAGAAGTAGTTCTCAGTTTTAGGTGTGCTGTCCCTTGATGTGTGGCAGGAATATTAAAGGATAGAGTGAACAATTTGAGTGAGAGTTGGGTTTTGGATGTTACTCTGTCTTCTTCTTCTTCTTCATCTTCTTCTTCTTCTTCTTTTGTTGTCTCATTGATACCAGGTTGTAGCCTGATGTGATGGTTTTCTATATTTAGCTTACACTTCTCAGATGGCTTGGGTGATAGGTTTGTTCATTTTTTTTTTTTTTTTTTAGGTTTCAGCTACACAATTTATTTATCTCTTTCTTGGCCTTCCCTCACCTTTCTCACAGATGTTCTATTGTAAAACATCTCATGAGCAGTTTGGTTTGATGGCATTCACAAACATCTCATGAGCAGTTTGGTTTGATGGCATTCACAAACATCTCATGAGCAGTTTGGTTTGATGGCATTCACAAACATCTCATGAGCAGTTTGGTTTGATGACATTCACAAACATCACATGAGCAGTTTGGTTTGATGGCATTCACAAACATCTCATGAGCAGTTTGGTTTGATGGCATTCACACTAGATGACTCAACCGTTTCAGTCTTTTTATGTCGATATAGTCCAGACATGGCCTCATTCCAACTTTCTCTCTAATGCTTGTATTCGTAACCATGTCCTTTCTTGTGTTATTAGTAACCTTGTGGAGACAGCGCATTTCACATGTTACAATATTCATAATACCAAGAAAGCACTGTTTTTTGTGTGTGCAATGTGTGAGCATGTGTCTGTGATGTATTACGGTGTATGTATGCTGGCATATGTACATGCATGCCGTATGTGAACTGCAGACAGAACAAGGTATTAGCCTAAAATGTCTGTGCCATAAAACAGTCAATAAACTCGTACCACAGGTTCTTTCTGAGTGCGCTGTTTTTGAGCATAATTTTTTTTCAATACTATTTTAATAGAGACTTTGTAGTGAGTACCAACACATTCTTGGAAACTCTATGATGACCTTGTTAGACACTTTGTGGTGAATACCAGCACCTTCTTAGACACTTTATATGGTGAATACCACCACCTTCTTAGATACTTTGTGGTGAATACCAGCACCTTCTTAGATACTTTTTTGGTGAATACCAGCACCTTCTTAGACACTTTGTGGTGAATACCAGCACCTTATTAAACACTTTATATGGTGAATACCAGCACCTTTTTAGACACTTTGTGGTGAACAAAAGCACCTTCTTAGACACTTTGTGGCAAATGCCAGCACCTTCTTAAACACTTTGTGGTGAATACCAGCACCTTATTAAACACTTTATATGGTGAATACCAGCACCTTCTTAAACACTTTGTGGTGAATACCAGCACCTTCTTAGACACTTTGTGGTGAATACCAGCACCTTCTTAGACACTTTGTGGTGAATACCAATACCCACACCTTCTTAGACACTTTGTGGTGAATACCAGCACCTTATTTAACACTTTATATGGTGAATACCAGCACCTTCTTAGACACTTGTGGTGAATACCAGCACCTTCTTAGACACTTTGTGGTGAATACCAGCACCTTATTAAACACTTTGTGGTGAATACCAGCACCATCTTAGACACTTTGTGGTGAATACCAGCACCTTATTTAACACTTTATATGGTGAATACCAGCACCTTCTTAGACACTTGTGGTGAATACCAGCACCTTCTTAGACACTTTGTGGTGAATACCAGCACCTTATTAAACACTTTGTGGTGAATACCAGCACCATCTTAGACACTTTGTGGTGAATACCAGCACCTTCTTAGACACTTTGTGGGGAATACCAGCACCTTCTTAAACACTTTGTGGTGAATACCAGCACCTTCTTAGACACTTTGTGGTGAATACCAGCATCTTCTTAGACATTTTGTGGTGAATACCAATACCCACATCTTCTTAGACACTTTGTGGTTAATACCTGCACCTTCTTAGACTGTGGTGAATACCAGTACCTTCTTAGATACTTTGTGGTGAATACCAGCACCTTCTTAGACTGGTGAATACCAGCACCTTCTTAGATACTTTGTGGTGAATACCAGCACCTTATTGGACACTTTGTGGTGAATACCAGCACCTTCTTAGACAGGTGAATACGAGCACTTTCTTAGACACTTTGTGCCAAAAACCAGCATCTTTTTTACTCCAGAAAATAAGCCCTGATTCCAGCTTATGAGAGAAGAAAAACAGTCTGCAAACAAATAAGCCAGATTTGTAAAACAAAAGTGCAAGCAAAATTCAAGTTCTGGAACAAGACCAAAGTCCAGAAGTGGACAAACAACCAGCACATTTTGCCGGAGTTTGCAGCCAGTAAATGCTAAGAAGATGAAGAAAAACTGAGTCTGGAAAAGGAAAAGTGTTTAATAGGTAGCATGAACTAGTGATTATTTACTTCATTTAAAATGAGCTACTTAAGGAAATTAAAAACTTTCTGTGGCTACAAATTATATATCAAGTTCTTTTTTACCGTTTTAACAGTGGATAATCCAAACCATTGTGATTTTGTGAGGCTGCGACAAATGCTCATCAGGTAAGACATTTCTAGAAACATGGATGATCACAATATATAACTACATTTTGATTCTGTCCCATCTATACCTGGAGTCACTGATTCAGCCGGGAATGGGCAAAGGATCCGGATGATGTTCAACATCCAGAGGTAAAGACAGGTGGACTTTGAATTAGGTTGCATCTAGCAACTACTTTAGAGAAAACAAGGCAGGTTGAGGGAGGGATCATGATGCATGAGCAACATATGGTCTCTATAATACTGCCCAGGCTTTGTGCTATGGAACAATGGTCCCGAAATCCCATGCTGTGACTGTGAATGTGGGCGGGTCTTGCTAGTCACACTCGCCATTGCAATGAGCTGTGAATCCAATGCCTCCTCCACTTCTTCTTCTGCCTTTCTATACCCCAATGTAGTATAGTCCCTCAACCAACTCACACCAAGTCGCTCTATCCTTTGCTATTACATGTAGCTCTCCCCATCCTTCTAGCTTCATTGTCTGGCTCTCTTCTCCTTGTGTTTTTTGGCCTTCCTTTATTCCTATGCCCCTGTGGGTTCCAATGCAAAGACATTCTAGTTATGCCATTCTCCTTTTTTCTCAATGTGTGTCCTATCCATTGCCAGCGTCTTTTCCTCACCTCTTGGTCCACTGGAGCCTGCTTAGTTCTTGCTTATGACTCCTTATAGCACAACAAAACATGGTTGTCTGGAAAGACAGAAAAATGCCAACCAATCATCTAGCACCATCACTTTGGGAACTCTTCACTGGTTAGAGAAAAAGGTGACAGGGCATGTCTGGAATGTACCAAGTGGACTCATGTCAGTTCTTGAATCCTTCATTCATTCACTTTTGTTTTCCATTATATATTCTATCTGTATTTTTATTTCCTGCTCATAAATGTTTTTAATTTTTATTGATCATAATCAGGTGCCATGCTTTTTCTTCTTCTTCTGTCTTTCTAATAGAGCATAGGCCCTTAAACAAGTTGTTCTCCCCATCTTTTTAACTTCACTCCTTAGTGCCATGGTAATAAGGGTAAACTGCCATGTTTGACACACTTGCCAGAATTACAGGTCAGTTGATAATGTAGTTTATCTAACTGAATGTAGTACTTCAGTAATGTTCATTTTTATTCATAAGTAAAGACTTTCATTAAAATGTTTGTTTGTAATAATGTGCATCTTTCCCTTCATCTAACTTTGGTTATCAATTCTGTTTATTTGTCATGAACCAAGCTATGTGGCACTGTTTTGTAAAGCTTCTGGCTCAAATGATCTAATTTCTACAAGCAGTTTTTAGAGTTTACTTTCTCCTGCTCTTGATTTACCTAGCTTTCTTGGTGTCTTTAAGTGTTGCAAACGTGCTTCATAATTCTGAGGTGCTACTTTCAATCCCAGCTGCAGGCAGCAGACCACCTTGTGTTTGTTTCAACAATGGTATCAAAAAAAAGCATTGATAAAATCATCATCATCATGTAGCAGGTCCTTTGCAGAACGTCGCTCTCATCACGGTCTGCCTGAAAGAAACTCAGTCTCTCGCCAGCTCTCCCGCCTTATGAACTTTCATACTCAAAGAGTTTCTTATATCCTGTGCCCATCTTCGTGTTGGATTGATAATCTACTGAACATAAAATTGACAGTAAACATTTTGGGATTGCTTTTGTAAAGTCCTGTAAAGGATATGCAACTAACTTTTTTGTCTCTAGCTCAGTGGTTCTTAACTTTTTATTGAGTCATACTCCCTTTTTATAAAGGCAAAGTGGCCCATGACCAAATAGGGATTTTACTAGAGTAAATAAAAACACATCAAAAATAAATTATCAGTAAAATATACTTCTTTTTTTTTTTCAGGTTCATCGGCTGCAAACTCTAGTAAAAAGTTCTGGATGTTTGTCCACCTCCAGACCTTAGTCATGTTACAGAACCTGAGTGTTGCATGCACATCAATTTTACAGATCTGGCTTATTTGTATGCAGACTATTGGTTCCTTGCCTGAGGTAGATGCACTCTGATTTCGAAGAAAGCCCCCAATTAGTCTATTTTTGTTTTTCCCAGAATCCACAAGATGAAAATAAATTATTCAAAACAATATTAATTTACAACATACAATGTTAATTTACGACATGCAATGTTAATTTATGACATACAATGTTAATTTATGACATAAAATGTTAATTTACAAATATATTTAAAGCAATGGGTAAAGTATTTGCTGAGCATCACCTCACTTTTCAAACAAATCTCAGGTGCAGAACGCAATATAATTTATTTATTTTTTTTTTCAAATGTTTATAGCTCACCACTGCCCAGTGATCCCAAATTAAACCCTTTGTCACCCCATTTCGAAGTCACATGACCCATGAGGTGGGAACCTCTGCTCTAGCTTTTTATTGTTACCTGTTTACAAAAAGGCAGCGGGCAAGTGAACTTATCACTATATCACTGGAGCTCAGGATATAACCCATTGTATTATTTTAATATAATATCTTTACCGCTTTCTTTTCTCATCATTATCCTGTTTGTTTTTTTAAATTACTTTTCACAAGCACTCACATGCAAGATCTTAAAGATGTAACATCAGATGTTCACTACGAGAACTACAGGGCAATGCACATCAGAACACAGATGACCTCAGCACAAAAGGAAAGAGGGTATGTGTTTATATCACCTTGTATTGTAGCTTCGTTTTTCCACCAAATACACAGGAAACTACAACTAACTCCTCTCTGTGATGCTTTGTGGTATAAGCAGTAGGATAAAAAATGATACGAGACACAGGAAATTTTCATTGGTCTTAACATGTGTCTGTGTGGTCTCAACATGTCTGTGTAGTCTCAGCTTGTGTCGGTGTGATCTTAACATGTGTGTATGGTCTCAACATATAAGTGTGATCTCAACTTGAATCTGTGTGATCTAAACATGTGTCTGTGTGATCTCAATGTCTGTATGTGTGGTCTCAACATGTCTGTGGGGTCTCAACATTTCTGTATGGTATAAACATATCTGCTTGCTCTCAACATATCTGTGTGGTCTCAACATGTGTCTGTGTGGTTTCAACATGTGTCTGTGTGGTCTCAATGTGTGACTGTGTGGTCTCAACATGTGTCTGTGTGGTCTCAATGTGTGTCTGTGTGGTCTCAACATGTCTGTAGGGTCTCAACATTTCTGTATGGTCTAAAACATATCTCCTTGCTCACAGCATATCTGTGTGGTCTCAACATGTGTCTGTGTGGTTTCAACATGTGTCTGTGTGGTTTCAACATGTGTCTGTGTGGTCTCAATGTGTGTCTGTGTGGTCTCAACATGTCTGTGTGGTCTTAACATGTGTCTGTGTGGTTTCAACATGTGTCTGTGTGGTCTCAACATGTGTCTGTATGGTCTCAATGTGTGTCTGTGTGGTCTCAACATGTCTGTGTGGTCTCAATGTGTGTCTGTGTGGTCTTAACATGAGCTTGGGTGGTCTCATCGTGTCTTTGTGTTTCGTCTTCTTGTGTTGTACCCATTTACAACATGGCTGAAATATATGTATTTGTCTGAGAGGCAAGGAATCGACACTCTGCATGCAAATAAGCCAGGTCTGTTGAATGTGCAAACAACACTGAAGTCCAGGAACAAGTGAAAGTCCAGAAGTGGATGAACAACCAGGTCTTTCCACCAGAGTTTACAGATATGGAAAGCTAAGAAGAAAAGAGAACAAATTTTAAAAGTCACCCACTTACTGATTTGAATGCATAAGGCTAGACTTATATTTTATAGACCAATCGGCTCTCAGTGGTGGGTATGTCAACATCACATTTTCAGAAAGCTGAAACGGGAAAGTGTGTCAAACTACGAGGCTGTGGGAGACACAGAGAGGCTTCTGGAACAGAAAGATGCTGAGGTAACTTCTAGAGCTGTTTTGTAGGAGACAGCTTGATTTAGGTATGCTAGTTAACAGCGTCTTCCCTGTAGCAACATACGGATGTGAGTATTGGACTATCTCCCAGTCCTTAAAAAAGAAAATAAGGGCTTTTGAGCTGAAATGTTATGGTGTTTCTCACAATACCATGGACCAAGAGAAGAAGAAATACTAACATTTCAACAGATCTCAATATCAAGGAAGATTGGCTGGTAAACAGCATCTTGTCTCGGAACCTAATATATTGTGGTCATATCAAACAGCATGGCGGACTGGACAAAAATAATAGCACAAGGCATGGTACCAGGAAGGAGGGGCAGGGGCTGACCAGCACGAAGATGGGCACAGAATATAAGTGGCTTCTTGAATATGAAAGTACGTGAGGCAGGAGAGCTGGCGAGAAATTGAGTTTCTTTCATGGGAGCGACCTTCAAAGGACCTGCTACATGATGATGAGTTAACAGGATTCATGTTTTGTGCTGCATTATATGTTGACGTAACTCTGATGCACCTGATGAGACAGTGAAATGTGTAGGAAAGAATTTTTTTTTATTGGGTCCTCATTATTTTAACATTTTGTTGACACAAAATATCCTTTAAAACTCAGCAACAAATTGTCACTCCTGGCAAATTCTTGAAGCTTGCACATACAAAGTAAAAATGCATGAAGCAAATGTCGGTTCACACTAGCAATGCAGCTCACTGTTGGCACAAATGCGCAATCATGAAACCCAGCATTGCACCCAGAAAAAGTATTTCCATTTGAATGTAATTGACAAGTCGCAATTTTAGTGCAATCAATGACATGTTGCGGACACAACAGAAAAAAAACATTCAACAGGTCACAGTGCTGCACCAAGCTGGGTGATGAAACCTTTGGACTCCCAGTGCAGGAATGGGGAATTTACATAAGTAAAACCTAACTTGGAACAAAAATAAGCCGAGGCCATTTCTTTAAAAAAAAATTTTTTTTTAATCTGGCTCCCTTAGATTTGCAGGAGAGTGCCTAGCCGCTACACCACGGAGACTCCCTTAGGTCTAAGGGAGTTAAACTAATGAGTTGAAAGCACCCCCCCCCCCCCCTCGACCTTACTTTCCCCTTTTAATCATGCATTGGCATTATCTTTATTTCTTTTTGCATTTCATATTATTTCACACATTTTTTAAATATTTATTTGTCTTTCAGCACATTGACACTAATAATAAAAGCAGTAGTTCCCCATGTGGGTTCCGGGGCCCTATTATAGGGAAAACAAGAATAGACCCACTGCCTACCCAAAAGCATGTCGCAAGAGTCGACTAATTGGGAGCTTCCTTCAAAGTCAGAGTGCATCTGCCTCAGAGGCAAGGAACCAATAGTCTGCATGCAAATTAGTCAGACCTGTCAACAACACTCAGATTCTGGAACAGGCCTGCAGTCCAGAAGTGGACGGACAAAGAGAACTTTCCGCCGGAGTTTACAGCCGGTCAACGCGAAGAAGAAGACGAAAAGCAATATTAATAATGATTTCAATGGCAAATTAATATAATAATATAATTGAAAGAATGTAACTAATGCCAACAGTTCACTACTGGAAAACATTGTTTTGAATAATTTAAAGAATATGAAATTTCTAAGCAGTTTTGTTAAATTTTTTTTAAGTTTTTTGAATAACGGATCAACATCATGGCACACAGGTAGCAAGCCATATGTGCTCCGTTCTTTCTTTTAACTCCAGTCTGAGTCTGCAGAAGCTCAGCACAGTGCACAGGCTCTGTAGCACCTGCGAGGATCCTGAAATACTTTGAGTAGATTTTTGTCTCCAAATTGTGCCCGGGCAGGGCCATTAGGCTACTCTTTTCAATTTCCCACAACAATGCACACGGGCATCCGATCTGACTACCCAGAGACCAGGGGGAATTACTATAAGTCCAGGTCCACAGAAAAATCCCAGCCCTTACCGGGGATTGAACCAAGAACCTGTAGCACTCGAGGCAGACACCATGCCTCGAGACCATGCAGCCCCCTTTATATACATTGATGCCCGGATCTCTAGCGTAGTTGGTTAAACCGGATTGCGAGGAGACCGGGTGAGGAACTCCTTGTGGCCCGAGTTCAATCCCAGGGGTAGGCAGAAAAGCCACATTTCTTCCAGATTTATGGTATTTACAATGGAATCAAGGCCGAAAGGTTGCGATATCCATAATACCGAGCCTAAGGGTTAACAACTCATGGCTTCTGGATACTAAAACAAACAAACAATATACATTGAAAAGCAAATACGTTTGAAAGAGAATTTCTATGCTTGGTTATAAGGGACTTTTAACCCCTGTACCTAATTACTGGAAGAGGAGAGCGCCTTTCCCCTCTGGTTTCTTTGTGCCGGTGTGTCTACTGGCACCTGTTTTATTCTGGTTGACCAGGTTGATGTCCTTCTCCTCTTTTGGCATACAAGGTATATACAAAACAAAAACAAGGACAGAGCAAGAGGTAGACCAAGAACATGATAGGAAGATAACATCAGAGAAACTCTACAGCACCATGATGTGTCTATGGTCGAAGTATTCAGAAAAGCATGAAGCAAGATCTTATATCTCCCTCAACACCCGAAAGTGGTAAAAGAAGACATAAAGAAGAAAAAGAAGAAGACCAGAAAGCTTAGACAAATTTTTTAACTTTGTCTTGGACATCAGGGAAGTAAGGTCTGTAGTACTGTGCTTCTCACTATAAAGCAAACCTAATCATTTATCTAATAATAAATTATTTTATACATGTTTTTGTACTTTCATCTATCACTAGATATTGCGGATGCAGCAGATGCTGGCAAAAATGCAAGAACAACTACAAGCAAACAACACACCACATCAGAATGTCAATGGATTGGGAAAATTGTGATACTCACAGAATACCATCAACAGAAGGGATGCAATGGCCACCTGTATTGACAGGGCCACAACATTTTAGAAGTTGAACATGCCTTCAAGGAAGTTACAGTGTAGAATAATGACCTCTTTTTATAGTTAACAAACTAGCCTGCATATGTAGGACAGTGGGTTATTTTATGCACCCATATGGCGTATCATTATATGTTTCGTATGGTGGAATCAGGAAGCAAGGATTTTCTTGCTGGATTGGCATTTGAAAAGCAGCACTTTGAGTCACCGGGTGTCAAACCCTAGTTGTAGTCTTGGAGGGTGTATGCAGAAAATATGTATCTTTTTATAGTTCATCTATGTAGAACTGATCGTTGTGTCTGTCCGCTGACTTCTATCTGGTATACTGGAAAATAAATTGCATTCAGGTGTTTTTGCATGTCATGAAAGTAAACCGCCTATAATCTGTTCCAAAGGTTGTGTCAAACTTTAAAACTCTGTAGCTCAACAACCGTTTGGTGTGAAATTTGGCATGCAACCTGTTAATAATCAGTCCTTGTAAACACAATTTTTTTTACATGTAAACAAATATTTAGTTTTCATTTTGCTTCATTTACAGTATATGATACGACAGACACCAATTCAACCTAAACAGTCCGCATGCTTACAGCTAATTGAGTAACGAGGACTTTTCAAAACATCAAATTGCACGCATTTCGTAGACTTTTCTTTCAGGGGTCATCTCTAGCATTAGTCTCCCTTGAGTTGCAAATTTTTTTTTTGTATGCGGAATAGGCTATCAGAATAATCAACATACATTGCTGCTTATGCGATAGGATTCCCAAACAATCTCCAAGTTAATAGTCAAAGTAAGATCATAGAAATTTGCCACTTAAGAAAACAGCAACACCTGTGCAGTTGTGAAATCATAAGGACATGATCTGTACATGTTTTCGAGTTATTTGTTAAATTTTGAGGGCGTGACTTTTGAAACCCACTATAACATCCTCTCCCATAGTTTTCCTCTACCTTGAGTCTTCTCCAACATTTTTGTTATCACATTGGTCTTCTTGTCTGCCCACAGCTTTCTGTCTTGTAAACAGCTAATCAGTTACAGGTGTCTCTTCATGCTATCACATTAAACTGTCTAGCGTGTGTTACTTGATGACCGTATTGACATTCTAGCACAGTGCCATACAACTAAGTTTACCCAGAATGTTGAAAAATGGGGATCGGCATGAGCCAGAGGCCTAACCCCAACATAGAAAGATCATTCTTTCTAGCCCCCATTGAAGCATAGGCCCTCAACCAACTCACACCAAGTCATCCTATTTTTTGCTATCGCATGCAGCTGTCCCCATCATTCTAGCTTCATTCTCCAGCTCCCTTCTCCATGTGTTGTTTAGCCTTCCTTTATTCCTATGGCCCTGTGGGCTCCAGTGCAAAGACACTCTATGCCAGCATCTTTTCTTCCCCCATCTCTTGGTCCACTGGAGCTTGCATAGTTCTCTCCCAGAGCTCTGCATTAGTCATTCTATCATACCATTTAATTCCCTCTATTCTGCCCAGGCACCAGTTAATGAATGTTTATAGTTTATTAGTAAACTTTTTATAAGAACCATTTTCCACATGACAGTATCATTTTCTTGGTAGGCCCAGACTGTCTCGTCGATACTAAAAATAAATCAAATTTGGGCAATCGACTGTTTTGTGTGCTTTTTTTTTTTTTTAAAGAATCGATGGGACGGTGTGGGTTTACCTAAATGTCTCAACGACCTGGGCACCCTAGCTTGAGAGTAACCGACATCAAGCTGATGTTTCTAACCTTAAGGTCCCGATAGTAAACAAAGGAACACACTTTTGATACCATGCCTAGATACCTCTACCTGTATACCCTCCGCCTAGAATGAAAGCAAAAGCAAACTACCTTAATCAAAGATACCAGAGTTGAGTTGAGTCAAGAAATGACATCACAGCACTCGGGGCATTCCCATGCATGCACCATCCTCATCTTCAGCAGCCAATGCAGAGTTCCAATACTGATGTTTCCGGTCACAATCTATTATATGTCCGTCTTGCTTTTCCTCTGAGTGTAGTGAGCCTGCCAGACCCTCTTGTTACACCCAGGTGTCTCATTCTCTCCAGGCAATAATAATCTTGTTTCTATACTAATTCCGTTGCTTGTTCCCTAAGGGCCTTGACCACATTTGCCTTGTCATGTATCAGTTTACCACCTAGTGAATTCCAAAGATACCAGAATACAGTCCAAAATCCTATACTGATAATACAAGAGAGACTGGTCAGTAAAGAGTGTTTGGCCATAAAGTTAGACACATACATTTGCAAACTTATTGACAACTGGTAGATTTCTTGGGAAAAGGTTCAGGGGAAGACAAAGAAAAATACCTTGATGGGTTTCCCATGTGGCATATAAGCAGGACAAGAACATTGACATTATCTGAGACTGAGGTCAATGTGTAAGATAGTAAATCATTAACCATTTTACATGGAACATGATAATGTCGTAGTTGTGTCATAGCAGCATGTCCTTCACAGGACGTTGCAGAACCAACCCCAGTATTAGTTTTTTTTTAACTTTTGTGGTTTTTATAGGGAAATTTACATTTAATAGTTTTTCCATTGCTTTCTGAACAGTCAGCTCTCAATATCACTGTCAAAACAAACACAAGATGGTCTGCTGCCAAATCACCTGCAGATGGGATGGAACCCAGTACTTTGGCATTACAAAGTGCGTTCTTAACACTTAAGCCACAGATGGCAAACTAAAAAGTGTCACAATAAGTTGCTATATCCATCCACCTAGGCCGCACGGTTATTAACTAAAACACCCTGTAATAGTTGTGTCCCAGGCAGCCTGTTGTTATATTAACTCTAACCTTATCCTAGTTGTCACGGAGTTATATTAACCCATCCTGTCCCAATTATATTGATCTACTCTATCCTTAGGCTTCCGGGTCAACCCAGCCAAACGTAGGAATCAGGTAGAGAATAAGCGACAGAGAATAAGCGACAGCAAGCTGCTGTTTCTAACCTTAAGGTCCAGATAGTAAACAAATGATCACACTTGTGTGTCCCCTACTTCATGGGAAGTAAAGGCAGCCGGCATGATGTTGACTGCATCACCCACCTAGTGCCGACTGGTCTATAAAATATAGGTCTAGCCCTATACACCCATATGACTTAATGTTGTCAAACACAGGGTCCTCCTACTTACCCTGTCCTTGTTGTCTCAGACAGTTATGTTAACCCCCCCCCCCCCTCACCACCACCTTGCACTATTCATTTTAGACAGCTATATTACCTCCAATAAGGTGCTAGTTGAAATAAAATTATATTAAGCCACCCACTCCTAGTTTTCCCAGACAAATATATTAAGAAAAACAGCCATCATGATAAAAAAAATATTTAAAAAAAATCTAATATGCTTCCTTTTAATTACCTTCTACCAGTGAATGATAAAAAAAGGATTGGGGGGGGGGGGGAGGGGGGATCTTTAAATCGTACTAAATTCCTAACTATATTCTTTTAAATAAACGACTATTTTACATCAGTAACTAATAAATTGTTTAAAAATTTATTTATCACATTTTAAAAACTACTTTGTTGTTGATATCTAGTCCAGAAAAAGATATTCAGCTAACCAGCAAAACTCTATTGTAACGGATAGATTATCAAAACTGTTTACTCATGTGAGAAAAGAAGTAAAGCACTCTTTTTACCTCAGTGGCACATTGGGCATATGATATTAGACTCAGATTCATATGCACTAATAGGTACCCGACAGGCAATGTGGTCACCCCTCCTGGTGCGCTTACTTCCCAGGATATTGCCTGGTACTCATTTTAGGCTGGGCCAACCAGAGGCCAAGATTTGTGGCCCAAATTTACTTGGTGTGGATTTTAACTCAAGAACTTTGGTCTTGGAAATCCAAATCTAGCCACTACACTACCCGGACCCCCCTTTAGATGTATAGGGCATATAAGGCTATATATTTCTATATTTTTATAGACCAATCAACACAAGATGTGGTAAGCATCACGTTGGCCACCTTTACTTCCTGGGACTCCATGCTGGGTCGACCTAAGAGTCAAGGTCATTTTTGAAAAAAATGTGGCTTCACCAAGGAGCGAACCCATGACCATCCGATCCGCATGCGAGCGTCTAGCCGCTATGCCACGGTGACTCCCAAAAGTTGCAGTAAAGGACCTTTTTCCATGCCTTCGGGCATATAGGGCTAGACTTATATTTTATAGACCAATCGGCATTTGGTGGATGATGTCATCACCTTTACTTCCCAGGACTGTATATGGTACCCACTTTTAAGGCTAGGTCCACCTGGGAGCCAAGGTAAAGTTTTTATTTTTAAACCCGGCTCTCTCAGGACCTCAACCCACGACATTTCAATCAGCAGGCGAGACGTCTAGCTGCTACACCATGGCAGCACCTCACTTTTTCATGTTATTATCTATATTTATTGTACGCACATTGAATTTTTTTCTTTTTTTGGGTGTCATGTTTATATTGTACACAAGCACATAATTCCAGTGTGGGAAAGCTTTAGTAAAGTCTTTACATATTATGCACGAAAAATATTTCTAGTGTGCTGGTTTTCATATGAAATGTTTCCACACATGGTGAGGTGGTAGTTACGGAAAGCTGCAATTTTGTTTAACTGAAAATTTTTAAGTTTGTTTATGGAGTAATGTATATACCTTGGAAGACATTATTAAAATGTAAGATATCAATAGAGTAAGTTCATAAATCAGAAGACATATTAATAAAAAAGTAAGGTATTGAAAGAGTAATTCACAAACCAGAAGACATATTAATAAAATGTAAGAAATTGATGGAGTATGTTCACAAGCCAGAAGACATATTAATAAAATGTAATAAATTGATTGAGTATGTTCACAAGCTGGAAGACATTAAGAAATTAAGACGTTTCTATGTAATGGTATTCAGCTCAGAGGCTAGTGAATGTGTTTCACAACCCATGAAGTA